GTTCTCACCGGGGCCTCCTGATGGCTAAAACTGGTGATGTTAAAATACACACAGTAGTGGTCAGACACAGCCAGGTCAACAACAGAGGACACACCAGTGGACAGGCCATAGGTCATGACCAGGTCCAGGGTGTGTCCTCTGTTGTGAGTCGGCTGTGTGACGTGCTGTTTAAAATCCATGCAGGTTAAAAGGTTTAAAAATTCTCTGGACATTGGATCAGAGGTATTATCAACATGTAAATTAAAATCACCAGTTATTAAAATTCTGTTATAGGTGGTGTGTATGATTGATAATAGTTCTGAAAAATCAGTGATAAAAGAGGTGGAATGGTGGGGTGGTCTGTAAACTGTGACACAAAGAATAGGAGGGCTGCTAAAAACAAAGGCATGATACTCAAATGATGAGTAGCTGTTAAAAGAAACTTCAGCAGAGTGCAGCGAATTTTTAGTGACTGAAGCAGTTCCGCCTCCTTTTTTACCCCCCTAGTAGAAAATAAAAAATTAAAATTTGGTGGGCAGGCCTCGGTGAGAACAACTGGTGCGTCAGTGCCAAGCCATGTCTCTGTTAAAAGAATACTGTCCAACTTGTTATCTAAAATCAGGTCATTTATGATAAAAGTTTTACTTAAAAGAGAGCGTTCAGCACGGCCAGGTTCATGTCTGTGCCGAACATGTGCTCATCATCACAATGTGGTGAGTGTGGAGCAGGTGTGAGGGGAACTAAGTTTTTGGGGTTGCTATTGATCCATAGTGAAGTTGTTCTGTTAAATCTGTTTGAAATTCTGACTGGGATGGATGTGGGAGTGGGAGTGGGTTGGGGATGAACCAAAGAGGAAAGCAGGGGGGCGTGTGCTTCCAATGTACGTCAGTACATTGTGATTTAAGTGTTCCCTTCATTGTTTTGAGTAGTGTAGTTCTGTCTGAGGATCAGACACCGTTAATTCAAACGATGTCACATCATCCTGAAAAAGTTTCAACTCTACAGACGGGGCGTTCAGGAGCTCACACACACACCTGGGGCATTCAATGAATTAAATAAACATGGGAAGTTTGGGAACTTAAGTGAGTGTGGGGCATTCAGGGAGTAAAATCAATGTGGGACATTCAGGAACCAACGTGAACAGGATCAAATGTGTCTGTTGTTTTTCCAGAGAACTCTCTGATCGTCCAATCACGTTTCATGTTACTGGAGTCTGTTCTCATCTTCTTCGTGTTGTTGGCGTTCTTCTCCTACCTGAGATTCCACAACGCTCCTGACAGGTGAGACTCAGGTGTTACTGCTGACATGTGAGACAGGTATATATATATATATATATATATATATATATATATATATATATTTGTGTATATATGTAGACAGTACAGCAACAGGTCAATGAAGAGGAATCTTCTGTGGGAGTTTTCATGGAAATGTGGATCTTTCAGACCAATTTGAGGAGTGCCTAAGGTTCCTATGTTTTATATTTTATCGTAAGTGTGTAATGCAGTGCAGGACTCGCACTGGCTTGTCTTGACTTGGTCTCGCCCTGCCTCGGTCTTGGTCTTGTCTCAGTCTCTATACACTCTGGTCTTGATCATGATTTGTTCTCTGTGTTTGACTACAACACAGGTACGCTCACTACCTGAAATAATTCTGCTAGAAACCTACGGAAACAGTAAACAGTAAAAGCAGTAAAACAGTAAATAGTAAAAACAATTTAAATATATGGCTTGTGATGAAATAATGTGGCTTGAGGTGAGATCTTGGGCTTTACTGCAACAGTATACTTACTCAGTTTTCTTTCGCTCCTTGTTATCAAAGATTTCATTCAGGTTGATGGACCTCTGACCCAGGAACTTGTCCATCCCAACCAAGGACCGATGCATCACTATAAGGCAGAGTTCATACACTTCTGGGTTGCCCTCCAAAAGTAACCCAGGTAATTCAAAGGAGGCTTCCTCTCTCCAGACAGGGTTAAGTGTCTTCTCTGCCACTGATGTTGAGTACTTTTCTTTGCCCAGCTGGATGATGGTGTAGGCATCATTGGTGCCATTTTTGCCCTTGGGCTGTAAACCGGTTGCTTGAAGAACAGTGGCTTGGACATGGGTTGGANTGACAGGTGAGACTCAAGTGTTACTGTTGACAGGTGAGACTCAGGTGTGACTGTTGACAGATGAGACTCAAGTGTGACTGTTGACAGGTGAGACTCAATTGTGACTGTTGACAGGTGAGACTCAAGTGTAATTGTTGACAGGTGAGACTCAAGTGTTACTGTTGACAGGTGAGACTCAAGTGTTACTGTTGACAGGTGAGACTCAGGTGTGACTGCTGAGACTCAAGTGTTACTGTTGACAGGTGAGACTCAAGTGTTACTGTTGACAGGTGAGACTCAAGTGTTACTGTTGACAGGGGAGACTCAGGTGTGACTGCTGACAGGTGAGACTCAAGTGTGACTGTTGACAGGTGAGACTCAAGTGTTACTGTTGACAGGTGAGACTCAAGTGTGACAGGTGTATGTTGTGTCTCCTCAGCTGGTTCAGATACTGTTGGCTGTTCGTCTCTGGAGCTTCGTGTGCTGCAGCTGTCGGGTGAGATGCTGATGACAGCAACAACAACAACAACAATATATAACAAGCAGTCAGTGTGTTTCTTCACCTGTGAAACACTAAAGTGTGTGTGTGTGTGTGTGTGTGTGTGTCAGGGTGAAGTATATGGGTGTGTTCTCCTACCTGCTGCTGTTGGGCGTGGCCTCTCTGCACACCTGGCAGCTGATTGGAGACCGAACAGTCAGTCATGTGAGTCACACTGAGCGCGCTCAGAGAACACAGACATGTTCAACCTGCAGGTACAGCAGTATGGCATCATCATGACATCATCCATCAGCTCACTGATTAGTTTGAGTTTATAAATGTGACACATCATCATCATCATCATCACTTATTTCAATGTACAAACTCTGCTGCATTCAAGGACATTCCGACATCTGAGAATTGGCCAATTTGTAATGAAGAAACTCTGAAGAGTGTGTTGTGTTTATTTAAAAATGACATCTGTGTGTGTGTGTGTGTGTGTGTGTGGTATGTGTGTGCGCAGCTGAGTGTGTGTGTGCAGTGTGTGTGTCGTGTTGTGTGTCTGTTGGTGGTTCCTGTTCTTCTCTACGTGTTCTGGTTCTACATCCACCTGACTCTCCTGCACCGCAGCGGACCACATGACCAGCTGATGAGCTCTGCCTTCCAGGCCAGTCTGGAGGTAAAAAACACACACAAATACACACCGGCCCATACCTCTAAAGCTCAGTACTAAAACTGACCCTTTACCCGTCATCATATCTAAGTCAAAGCCACATCCGTTAATAAAAGACCCGCCCCGTGATACTACATCATACACTACGGATACTACATCATACACTACGTATACTACATCATATACTACCTATACTACATCATACACTATGTATACTACATCATATACTACCTATACTACATCATACACTACGGATACTACGTCATACACTATGTATACTATATCATATACTACCTATACTACGTCATACACTACGTATACTACATCATACACTACATATACTATGTCATACACTATGTATACTACATCATATACTACCTATACTACGTCATACACTACCTATACTACGTCATACACTACGTATACTACGTCATACACTACATATACTACGTCATACACTATGTATACTACATCATATACTACCTATACTACGTCATACACTACGTATACTACGTCATACACTACATATACTACGTCATACACTATGTATACTACATCATATACTACCTATACTACGTCATACACTACGTATACTACGTCATACACTACATATACTACGTCATACACTATGTATACTACATCATACACTACCTATACTACGTCATACACTACGTATACTACGTCATACACTACATATACTACGTCATACACTATGTATACTACATCATATACTACCTATACTACGTCATACACTACGTATACTACGTCATACACTACATATACTACGTCATACACTATGTATACTACATCATATACTACCTATACTACGTCATACACTACGTATACTACATCATACACTATGTATACTACGTCATACACTACGTATACTACATCATATACTATGTATACTACGTCATACACTATGTATACTATGTCATGCACTACATATACTACATCATATACTACATCATACACTACGTATACTACGTCATACACTACGTATACTACATCATACACTATGTATACTACATCATACACTATGTATACTACATCATACATTACATATACTACATCATATACTACATCATACACTACGTATACTACGTCATACATTACGTATACTACGTCATACACTACGTATACTACGTCATACACTATGTATACTACATCATATACTACGTATACTACGTCATACACTACATATACTACATCATATACTACATCATACACTACGTATACAACATCATACACTACATATACTACATCATACACTACATATACTACGTCATACACTATGTATACTATATCATATACTACCTATACTACATCATACACTACGGATACTACGTCATACACTATGTATACTATATCATATACTACCTATACTACGTCATACACTACGTATACTACATCATACACTACATATACTATGTCATACACTATGTATACTACATCATATACTACCTATACTACGTCATACACTACCTATACTACGTCATACACTACGTATACTACGTCATACACTACATATACTACGTCATACACTATGTATACTACATCATATACTACCTATACTACGTCATACACTACGTATACTACGTCATACACTACATATACTACGTCATACACTATGTATACTACATCATATACTACCTATACTACGTCATACACTACGTATACTACGTCATACACTACATATACTACGTCATACACTATGTATACTACATCATACACTACCTATACTACGTCATACACTACGTATACTACGTCATACACTACATATACTACGTCATACACTATGTATACTACATCATATACTACCTATACTACGTCATACACTACGTATACTACGTCATACACTACATATACTACGTCATACACTATGTATACTACATCATATACTACCTATACTACGTCATACACTACGTATACTACATCATACACTATGTATACTACGTCATACACTACGTATACTACATCATATACTATGTATACTACGTCATACACTATGTATACTATGTCATGCACTACATATACTACATCATATACTACATCATACACTACGTATACTACGTCATACACTACGTATACTACATCATACACTATGTATACTACATCATACACTATGTATACTACATCATACATTACATATACTACATCATATACTACATCATACACTACGTATACTACGTCATACATTACGTATACTACGTCATACACTACGTATACTACGTCATACACTATGTATACTACATCATATACTACGTATACTACGTCATACACTACATATACTACATCATATACTACATCATACACTACGTATACAACATCATACACTACATATACTACATCATACACTACATATACTACGTCATATACTACATCATACACTACATATAATACACAACATATACTATATGTACGTCGTACATTACGTGTGCTACAAATACTAGCTTGCACACCACATGCACTATGCATTACAGCTTATGAAGTGCAGATGTTCTTCTGATTGGTTGCTGATTAAAGCATCCAGTGAGCTTTTAAGATGATGTCCCTGCAATTTTTATATGTTAACATGACCAAACATGAGACATATCTGTCCTACTGACACTCAACACTGACTGCTTGATTGATTGATTGATTGCTTGATTGATTGATTGATTGATTGGTGGTCATGTCTCTCTTCAGGGCGGTCTCTCCAGGATCACTCAGGGTCAGCCATTGGAAGTTGCGTACGGCAGTCAGGTGACCTTAAGAAGCTCCGCCTCCCAGCCCGTTCCATGCTGGCTGCACTCACACAAAGCCAACTATCCAATCAGGTGCTGCCAGCTCACTGGCCACAGCAGCCAATCAGAACACTGCAGGGTTCAGAGTGAATGACCTGACTTCCTATTTCCTGCTCAGGTATGAAACTGGGCGGGGCAGCTCTCACCAGCAGCAGGTCACCTGTTATCCCTTCAAAGACGTCAACAACTGGTGGATCATCAAAGACCCCGGCAGGTAGGTCACCTGTCTGTCCCAAGGCATGCTGGGAGGTGTAGTCTCTGTCTCACCTGTCTCTGTCTGACAGACAGGAGCTGGTGGTCAGCAGCCCGCCTCGACCTGTCCGTCATGGGGATGTCATCCAACTGGTTCATGGGATGACCTCACGCTTCCTCAACAGGTAAACTTCTCACCTGACTGCTGTAGTGCATTCAGGGACAGTCCGACATCTGAGAACTGACACTTAGCAGCTAATGGTAGGACTACATTACCCATGAGCCTCGACTGCAGCTCAGTCAGTGTCATCTCTGTGAAGCTCCGTGATTGGCTGTTTGTCAGTGAAATGCATCCTTGGAGTCGTAGTTTGGTTGTTCAGTCATTCTGTCACTGCAGGAAACAGGAAGTCTGACACTGTTCTTCACCTTCTGTGTTAGTCTGTTGTTTATTCTGATGTTTATTGTGTTGTTTATTCTGTCAGCCATGATGTTGCAGCTCCCATGAGCCCTCATTCTCAGGAGGTGTCGGGTTACATTGACTTTAACGTTTCCATGGCAGCACAGAACCTTTGGAGAGTGGTGAGCACAGGATTTTGTTTATTCTTAATCATGAACACATCATCATCATCGTTGCCAGCACGGCATGCATGCTGTCAGTGAACGTCATGTATAAACTCCTCATTACTGTGACGTCAATTTAACATGTTGGTCTCATGTCTGAACAAACAGCCAAGTCACTTTAACGAAAGTCCTGAGGACAGTTCAGCATTCTGACGATGTACACAGGCCATTTCCATTCTCACAATGCTCATGCAGTGTTCAGTGCCTTAACGCAATGTTCACATGGCGTCACAGCATTCTAACAGCATACACGTGGCATTCACTTACCATTCACACGGTGTTCACACGCTGTACTCACAATGTGCCTGAGTTGTCTTGGAGTATAACAAAATTAAATGATGTCTGTCAATAACATTCAGTAATTTTAATGTCTCGTTATGTTACGTTTCTCTGTAACGTTCAGGTACCATAGATATTTTTATGTCTCGTCACATAATGTTTCTCTGTAACGTTTAGGTACTGTAGGAGGTCTAAAGTCTCATCTCATTGCAGGACATCTTTAACAGGGAGGCGGAGTCAGAGTCCTGGAAGACGATCCTTTCTGAGGTTCGATTGGTCCACGTCAACACCTCAGCAGTCCTCAAGGTAGCGACAGGAAGTGACCATGTGGCACACTGCTGTTTCCTGTAACCATATAAGGAGGTGATGACCTCTGTGTGTGTGTGTGTGTGTGTGTGTGTGTGCATGCAGCTGAGCGGTGTGTCTCTTCCAGACTGGGGTTTCCGTCAGCTTGAGGTCGTCGCTGACAAACTGTTCAAAGGTCACAGCAGCAGTCTGGGATGGACAGTCGAGGAGCACCGATATGGAACCAGTATGACCTCTGACCTGTGACATCATCACTAAACACAGACACACAGACTGTAGTGATCAGGGTCATTCAGTGTGGGGGCACTGAACTACATGATGTCTTTAGTTTTAAGAACTCAGTGATGCATTTAAGTACAGTTTGATTTTTTCTTCTTTGTCATGTGTGTGCAGGTCAGGAGCAGAAGGAGAGGGAGGCGGAGCTTCATTCTCCGACTCACATTGACGTGGACAGAAAAATTTCCTTCTGGGCCAAATTTTTAGAACTTCAGGTAGGACAGTGAACGCATCATCACTTAATTATCCAATTAGAACACACCTTGATCTCTGCATCACATGAATGTTGATTCAAAGTTTTGTTTTAACTTTATTGAACCTGTGAGAAGAACAAACCGTCAGTGACGATCACACAGACGAAACATTTTCCTCTCCTCAGAGATCACAGCAACTTTATTATTGTCAGCGATGAAACTAACTTGATCATCTACAGCAGCACCTGATGTCATGTGTTACCATGGCAGCAGAGTGACTGATGATGTCACGTGTTGTGTTACCATGGCAGCAGAGTGACTGATGATGTCACGTGTTGTGTTACCATGGCAGCAGTGTGACTGATGATGTCATATATTGTCACAGTGGAAGATGCTGACGGTGAAACAGGAAGACTCTGAGCACAAATACAGCTCCTCCCCACTGGAGTGGGTTACCATGGAAACAAACATCGCATACTGGCTGCACTCCTCCACCAATGTAACACACACACACACACACACACACAGCGTCACAGTACACACTCCTGTTCTGTCTTCTGATTGGCTGTCTGTGTCTCAGGCTCAGATCCATCTGATTGGTAACCCTGTGTCATGGGGCATGGCGAACTTCAGTCTGCTGGCCTATCAGCTGCTGGCAGCCGTTTACCTGCTGAGAAGGAGGCGAGGCTTCAAAGACCTCCCTGATGGTACTCACACACACACACACACACACACACACACACACATACACTCAATCAATCAATCAACTTTATTTATAAAGATATCACAAATCACAATTTGCCTCACAGGGCTTTACAGCATACGACATCCCTCTGTCCTTATGACCCTCACAGCTGATCAGGAAAAACTCGCACAAAGGCTCCGGAGAAGAAGTTATTGACATCCAGAATGGCCGAGTTAGCAAGATGCAGTAATAGGACATGAGAGAGAGAGAGAGAGAGAGAGAAGGAGAGAAGGAGAGAAGGAGAGAAGGTGCCCGGTGTATTATAGGGAGGTCCTCCGGCAGCAACCTGATCTCACAGAAATACGTGAAATGACCACGACCTCTTAACACCACATTCCGTGGTGGCAGCACGTAATGGGTTGAAATTACGTGCTGCCACCACGAAAACAATGCCAATGTAAAGTCAATTAGGATCCTCTCCCGTGGTGGACACACTGATTCCCTGATTCAATCACGTCACGTCAACCTCGTTTTCCTCAATGATACCTTTAACATTCCTGTACACACACAAAAACGCGGAAGTGTCCTTGATAACTCAACAATATGACAGGTTAATGTCAAGGCCATAAAATAAAATAAATGTATTTTTCCAGCTTTTGATAGCGTAGGGCTTTAAGAGCATTGTGCTGTGGGCGGATGGGGCGCGTTCCACTACTGTTTTGTAGCTGCTGTCGGCCGTCTGTGGGCTTCATTCCATTTCAGATTGCCATCCGTCTGCCGTAACTGAATCCAAACGCCACTAATAAATAAATAAATAAGAAGATAAAAATAAGGCTGAGCACGGAAGAACCAGAGAGGAAACACCATCACATGGAGCCGTCTGCCCCTGGCAACCCGGCCACCCTCCACTCCACCAGGGGAGAGTGGACCCCAAGCCAGCGCCACAGAACGGCTGCCCCGCTGGTTATACCTCCGACCGTGGCAGCTGTCACACAAACCGCTGCTGAAAATTATACATTTTGATACAGGTAGGCTATATACATATTGCAAAACTCTGTAAAAGTACACCAAAGCATATTTTCGTTTCCAAATATTTATTTGAAAACGAAACCATTCATACGGTCAATATAAAACATTTTGTTAGTAATAAAAAACAAATGTAATCTCAATGTGACCCAGCCGGCGGGACTGCGGCTGAACCACTTCCAATGTTCATTCATTCATTCATTCATTCATTCATTCATTCAATCGCGTGTTCAATGTGTGTGTGTGTGTGTGTGTGTGTGTGTGTGTGTGTGAGTGTGTGTGTGTCAGAGAGTGCTATCAATAAAAGAAAAGTAATTATTTTGGTGTTTATTTCTTTTATTCTTCCGTTTTTTTTTTAATTAAAATGCGTAATATAGCCAACAATATTATAGACCAAATGTTAATCTAATTATTATTGTAGAATGTATTTAGCAAATCACCACTCTCAACTGGAGACAGCAGCAAAAAAAAAAAAGAAAGGCATTATAAAAAGCCGACAAATCGTGTTAATTAATTGACGTGAGACATTGAAGAGGTTGTCTCCTATAGTCTGTAATTTTTTATTTTTTTTATCATAACTTCTCGGAAATTACTCAAAAGTAGAACATGCTAAAAGTAAATACAATAATAGGCTAAATAGTATCTAAGCAATAATAAAGTGTCTAAACAATAATAAATATTATCTAAGTTATCTATTAGGCTACCATTCCACTCTGTAAATAGATTTTAACATTTCAATATGATTTTAATATTATTTTTGCTTATTTCATTATTGTTATTATTGGTTTTACTTTTTAGTAGTATTGTATTGTCTGAGGATGACTCATTTTAGTAACTATCTACAGTAAAAAAGAAAAAAACAAGCAAAGAAACAAACAAAACTCATTTTATACACGGGGCCTTCAAAGTGCTCTCTGAAACTACACCTGGCATGGCTTGTGTCCAAAAAATGAAAAAATCTAAACTTTGTCGTAGAGCTAAACCAAATACATCATTGGAAAGGTCTCAACCTGGAGAGTGACATATGTCAGTATGAAGATTCTACATGGCTCCTGCTTTCAGCCATTGACCTTTGAACCTTGACCTCAGTGCATGTTTGAGGGCTTATAACTCAGCAACTAAAGGGGGTACAGACATGGGACCAACTGTTATAGAGAGCTCTTGACCTCAGCTATCATGTGAGCGTAGTCAACAACTGAGGGTGCTGTCAGATATGGGTAAAATATGGATAAAATTAATTTTCACCCATTTAGAAATTAGATATTTAAAATCTGATTTCACAGATGTGTTTACCATCCCCTTAAAGTCCACAGTGTACTCTCAATTCAATATTTACAACTTCCAAATCTGGGAAAAACACTTAGATTTTTAAAAAACTACAATTCCCTGGGACCGCGCCATGCAGTTTGATACATATCAGCAACATAGTTGTAGTTCTAATGATTTGCAAAGTAGGGCTCTAAATAGGGTTGTAAAAAGATATATCTACCCAATATATCTAATATCAAGTAAAGCCGAACGAGTTATTACACTGCACCTAGATGAACTATGGTAAGAAAAAGTAAAGATGTCGGCTAATTTTAGATATTTTAGCTAATGCACTAGAAACAGCATTTTTGGGACAGTAGGTTCGTTTGCGGCTTGCTGTAAAATAGGGTCGTAAAAAGCTAGATCTACTGAATAAATCTAATATCTAGTAAAGCCGAAGTAGTTATTACACTGCACCTAGATGAACTATGTTAAGAAAAAAAGCAAGGATATCGGCTAATGGTAGTTATTTTAGATAGTACTCTAGAAACGGCGTTTTTGGGACGGTAGTTTTTTTGCGGCTTGTAAAACAGGGTCGTAAAAAGATACATCTACCGAGTATATCAAATGTCTAGTAAAGCTGAACTAGTAATGACACTGCACCTAGATGAAATATGTTAAGAAAAAGTAGGCATGATGGTTCATTTCAGATATTTTAGCAAGTTCTCTAGAAACGGCGTTTTTGGGACTGAATATTTGAATAGGCTATAACAAATATCTAGAACAGCCGAACTATCACGTTATTATCATTATTATTATTATTATTGGTGGGAAATTATAACAGAGGAATGTATTTGCCGTTTTAATATCAAGGACACTTCCGCGTTTTTGTGTGTATACAGGAATGTTAAAGATATCATTGAGGAAAACGAGGTTGATGTGATTGAATCAGGGAATCCGTGTGTCCACCACGGGAGAGGATCCTAATTGACTTTACATTGGCATTGTTTTCGTGGTGGCAGCACGTAATTTCAACCCATTACGTGCTGCCACCACGGAATGCGGTGTTAAGAGGTCGTGGTCATTTCACGTATTTCTGTGAGATCAGGTCCTCCAGCAGACTAGGCCTAAGTCAGCCTAACTAGGGGCTGGTACAGGGCAAGCCTGAGCCAGCCCTAACTATAAGCTTTATCAAAGAGGAAAGTCTTAAGTCTAGTCTTAAATGTGGAGACTCCTTCATCATCATCATCATCATCATCATGTTTTAATGGTTTCTCCTTAAGTACGACCCTTCCTGTATATTTTCTCCTTAGCTGAAGGACTTAGGGCCCGTCCCAATACCCCCCTTAGCCCCACCCCTTAGTACTACTGTATAACATTTTTTTATTGCTATTCACAGTGTCTAGATTGGAGTTGACAGAAAGCTAGTCAGCTAACTAACGTTACCGTCGTCAGGTTGCTTGTTAGCTAGCTAACTCGCTCGCACTATCTGGTGTCTGTCATCTGTCCTGTTCTCCAAAATTGTCAGATTTTTCATATTACGATATGATGCTAGCTAGTATAACTATGCTGCTCGTTATGTTAGCTGGTTAGCTAGCTAGCTAGCTAGCAGAAGTCCCCTGTCGTACGTATCATTTCGTCGTCTGACGTTCATCAAATGAAGCATGATGAATACAGCAAACCTGATCGGTAGGATGAACTCAGCCGGAGACTCCATTGTAGATGCCGGTTGGAAATGTAGATGGCTCGCAGCTTCCTGCTTAAAATAGTTACGTATGCGTGAACGTAACCGACGCGGTGACATAGTGAGTGGTGTCCCAATTCCTAGGGAAAGAGTTCAACCCCCACCCCTCGTTGCTTCATTTCGAGGGCCAAGGGGTAGTGGGCAAGGGCTGGGGGGGTATTGGGATTGGGCCTTACTCTAGAGCAGGTGTGGCCAACCCTGCTCTAGAGTGTTGCACAGAATCCTTTAAGAGGTTTCTTTAGCTGAGTGAAAAACATGAAGGCATTTAAAGACATTTTAAAGCCATTCAATTTCACAGTTTCTATGGAGACCATTTGTTTGTTTGCACTTGTGAAACCTTAAGTTGTTTTGTGTCACAGTTTAACTAACTTAAAGTAATTCCTTAGTTGTAAGACTGAGATAGAAGAGAAACCCTTTAATACTTAAGGTAAAAATATAAGAAAATGAATAAAGACAACACGCACTCTCAAAAAAGAAGAAAAAAGTCTGGAGGTGCTCGGCCACAGAACAACAGTATACAACAGTCTTCGTGAGGAAGACACTTGTCGAAACCAGTCTGTGTGTTTAATCGCCTGTACCAGCGAGGTATTAAAAGTCTGTAACGAAGGAGCGAGTGTTGCTGGCTTTTTCTCGTTTAAAAATGTAAGAAAACCTTAAGGGAGAAGACTAAAGGGTGTTTCGTAAAACTGGCCCTGAGATGTTCCTTAAATATCATTCTGTGTGTGTGTGTGTGTGTGTGTGTGCGTGCGTGTGTGTGTCCAGGTGTGTGGGGTCAGTTCGTGTGTCTCGGGTGTGTGTGTGTCGGTGGTTGGTTGGTAAACTTCCTGCCGTTCCTCCTGATGGAGAAAACTCTCTTCCTGTATCACTACCTGCCCGCCCTCTGCTACCTGCACCTGCTGAGCCCTGCCCTTCTGGAGCACACACACACTCACCTGCTCAGGTATGCACACACACACACACACACACACACACACACACAGTAAATGAATGTTGATGTAAAATTTGTGTGTGTTTGCAGCAGAGCGACACATCGGCGTGCACTCTGTGTGTGCATGTCGGCGGTGTTGTTGTCCGTCTTCCTGTCGTATCGAACCTTCTGCCCTCTGACCTATGGCAGCCCCGAGCTGTCGGCCAATCAGCTGCAAGGACTGAAGTGGAGAGACTCCTGGGACATCCTGTACCGCCGCCGGTAGACAGACAGACGGACAGAGAGACAGAGACATGTCTTCGTCAGAGGGACAGGGTGACTGACACTCTGAGTCCTGATCAGTCAGACAGAACTTATTCTCCCACAATGCACTGCACAGAGGACACGGAGGAGGGTGGAGGTGAAACAGACCCAGGAGCTGAGGTTTCATCGTCACAGTTTGACGCATCACTTCCTGTCATTGTGACAGTGAGGATGTGTTTGACTCGTGGTTTATTTATTCATTAAAACACAGTCAAATCTGTTGAAGCAGATTTTTCTACAAACTCAGTCACAAACTTTTTATTTGTTGATAATAATAATTCATGTTTACAGGATGTTTTTACACAGTAATGTAGAAAATATTCAACCAGCAGAAGATGATATGATCATATTAAATGTTTCTGCATGTTCACAGACAATATGTTTTAAATTCATCTAATAAAGTCTGAGTATGATGGGAAACCAGGAGCCATAATTGGGTGTGAATGCAAATGTTCTACAGATTAGTCTTTATTGTCACATGATTATTATTCTGCACACTTTTTTGTTGCCTAACTACTTCATAATACTTAAACATATTCAAACGCGTAAGTATTAATCTCAATTAGGACATGTGTGCTTCTGTTCAGAATTTTGAAATCATTCATACTTTCCGAAATATTCAATGTTTCGCGGAAATGTTTCCCCATCAAATAAATGGCAGAATGTTCAAACTTCACAGAATTCAAGATTTTTTCAAGCATCTTAAAAACCTATTTCCTCATTCATACTTTAACATAGAAACTCCAAACTTCAAAATGGTCATTGTCTTTCTGACATTCTTACATCCATTCAGCCTTTAAATACCATTCATACTTTTAAACTATTCAGACTTGACAGGACGGTCACGCCTCCCTAATACTGGCTGATTGACAGATCAGCTGATAAAGACGCATCACAACCACCACTAAGTGAAACTTCTGAGGAAGGCGGAAGTTTCCGCCGAAACATGTCAAGGTATGTAATATCCTAACATGTCTGACATAAAAGAACAACTAAAGTCATTATCATAAACTGAAGATATAATGAACACCATTGAACTAATATTGTAATTTGAATGCAATCATTTAAAGCAAGAGAAAATATTTGAAAATAATGTTTTTATTACCACTTGGAATCGAAGTATCAACAAGACTTATTTATTTTAGTTAAAAGCAAGAGAAAATATTCAAGGCCTCAGACTGAGCCCAGTCATTTTAAACAGACAGAAAGATGGCGGAACCACACAGCGGAGCGACCGGAAGTGATACGGTGGGGAAGACAATGAAAAGCGGACACGCGGATGTTAGGTTTGTTTTTTATATTTGTCAGTTTAAACTACAGTATTTGATCATATTAAACTACAGATTGTTGGTTCCGCTCATCGACATTAGAATCAAACCTGTTTTTTATCAGAAACGTTTAAACCGGAACTACATGCGAACGGAGAAGAAGATGTCCCGCCGCACAGCCTGCTGGGTAATATGTTAAAGATAGCGCTACTTTGATTGGAGCTCCGCGGCGCGTGCAGGCAGAAAGTAAAGACACAATAAAGACACACAGTGAAGACAGAATAAAGACAAACGGAGAGTTTAATGAAGAGACGGAGACACGGAATACGAGACGGAAGCTGCTGAAGGTCAGAAAGTGTCTATTTATTACTGCGTGTGTATGTTAGCTGCTAATGTTAGCATCACAAACTACTGACAGTGACGTTACTGCACCGACATCCTCAGTGCTGCTGCAAATACGACTGACACTACAGATACTACTGACACTACAGTTACTACTGACACTACAGTTACTACTGACACTACAGTTACTACTGACACTACAGTTACTACTGACACTACAGTTACTCCTGACACTACAGTTACTACTGACACTACAGTTACTACTGACACTACAGATACTACCGACACTACAGATACTACTGACACTACAGTTACTCCTGACACTACAGTTACTACTGACACTACAGTTACTACTGACACTACAGATACTACTGACACTACAGTTACTACTGACACTACAGATACTCCTGACACTACAGATACTACTGACACTACAGTTACTACTGACACTACAGATACTACTGACACTACAGTTACTACTGACACTACAGATACTCCTGACACTACAGATACTACTGACACTACAGTTACTACTGACACTACAGATACTACTGACACTACAGTTACTACTGACACTACAGATACTCCTGACACTACAGATACTACTGACACTACAGTTACTACTGACACTACAGATACTACTGACACTACAGTTACTACTGACACTACAGATACTCCTGACACTACAGATACTACTGACACTACAGTTACTACTGACACTACAGATACTCCTGACACTACAGATACTACTGACACTACAGTTACTACTGACACTACAGATACTCCTGACACTACAGATACTACTGACACTACAGTTACTACTGACACTACAGATACTCCTGACACTACAGTTACTACTGACACTACAGATACTACTGACACTACAGTTACTACTGACACTACAGATACTCCTGACACTACAGATACTACTGACACTACAGTTACTACTGACACTACAGATACTCCTGACACTACAGATACTACTGACACTACAGTTACTACTGACACTACAGATACTCCTGACACTACAGATACTACTGACACTACAGTTACTACTGACACTACAGATACTCCTGACACTACAGATACTACTGACACTACAGTTACTACTGACACTACAGATACTCCTGACACTACAGATACTACTGACACTACAGTTACTACTGACACTACAGATACTCCTGACACTACAGATACTACTGACACTACAGTTACTACTGACACTACAGATACTCCTGACACTACAGATACTACTGACACTACAGTTACTACTGACACTACAGATACTCCTGACACTACAGATACTACTGACACTACAGTTACTACTGACACTACAGATACTCCTGACACTACAGATACTACTGACACTACAGTTACTACTGACACTACAGATACTCCTGACACTACAGATACTACTGACACTACAGTTACTACTGACACTACAGATACTCCTGACACTACAGATACTACTGACACTACAGTTACTACTGACACTACAGATACTCCTGACACTACAGATACTACTGACACTACAGTTACTACTGACACTACAGATACTCCTGACACTACAGTTACTACTGACACTACAGTTACTACTGACACTACAGATACTACTGACACTACAGATACTACTGACACTACAGTTACTACTGACACTACAGATACTCCTGACACTACAGATACTACTGACACTACAGTTACTACTGACACTACAGATACTCCTGACACTACAGTTACTACTGACACTACAGATACTACTGACACTACAGTTACTACTGACACTACAGATACTCCTGACACTACAGATACTACTGACACTACAGTTACTACTGACACTACAGATACTCCTGACACTACAGATACTACTGACACTACAGTTACTACTGACACTACAGATACTCCTGACACTACAGATACTACTGACACTACAGTTACTACTGACACTACAGATACTCCTGACACTACAGATACTACTGACACTACAGTTACTACTGACACTACAGATACTCCTGACACTACAGATACTACTGACACTACAGTTACTACTGACACTACAGATACTCCTGACACTACAGATACTACTGACACTACAGTTACTACTGACACTACAGATACTCCTGACACTACAGATACTACTGACACTACAGTTACTACTGACACTACAGATACTCCTGACACTACAGATACTACTGACACTACAGTTACTACTGACACTACAGATACTACTGACACTACAGTTACTACTGACACTACAGATACTCCTGACACTACAGATACTACTGACACTACAGTTACTACTGACACTACAGATACTACTGACACTACAGTTACTACTGACACTACAGATACTCCTGACACTACAGTTACTACTGACACTACAGATACTACTGACACTACAGATACTACTGACACTACAGATACTACTGACACTACAGATACTACTGACACTACAGATACTACTGACACTACAGATACTACTGACACTACAGATACTACTGACACTACAGATACTACTGACACTACAGATACTACTGACACTACAGATACTACTGACACTACAGATACTACTGACACTACAGATACTACTGACACTACAGATACTACTGACACTACAGATACTACTGACACTACAGATACTACTGACACTACAGATACTACTGACACTACAGATACTACTGACACTACAGATACTACTGACACTACAGATACTACTGACACTACAGATACTACTGACACTACAGATACTACTGACACTACAGATACTACTGACACTACAGATACTACTGACACTACAGATACTACTGACACTACAGATACTACTGACACTACAGATACTACTGACACTACAGATACTACTGACACTACAGATACTACTGACACTACAGATACTACTGACACTACAGATACTACTGACACTACAGATACTACTGACACTACAGTTACTACTGACACTACAGATACTACTGACACTACAGTTACTACTGACACTACAGATACTACTGACACTACAGTTACTACTGACACTACAGATACTCCTGACACTACAGTTACTACTGACACTACAGATACTACTGACACTACAGATACTACTGACACTACAGATACTACTGACACTACAGATACTACTGACACTACAGATACTCCTGACACTACAGATACTACTGACACTACAGATACTACTGACACTACAGATACTACTGACACTACAGATACTACTGACACTACAGATACTACTGACACTACAGATACTACTGACACTACAGATACTACTGACACTACAGATACTACTGACACTACAGATACTACTGACACTACAGATACTACTGACACTACAGATACTACTGACACTACAGATACTACTGACACTACAGATACTACTGACACTACAGATACTACTGACACTACAGATACTACTGACACTACAGATACTACTGACACTACAGATACTACTGACACTACAGATACTACTGACACTACAGATACTACTGACACTACAGATACTACTGACACTACAGATACTACTGACACTACAGATACTACTGACACTACAGATACTACTGACACTACAGATACTACTGACACTACAGATACTACTGACACTACAGATACTACTGACACTACAGATACTACTGACACTACAGATACTACTGACACTACAGATACTACTGACACTACAGATACTACTGACACTACAGATACTACTGACACTACAGATACTACTGACACTACAGATACTACTGACACTACAGATACTACTGACACTACAGATACTACTGACACTACAGATACTACTGACACTACAGATACTACTGACACTACAGATACTACTGACACTACAGATACTACTGACACTACAGATACTCCTGACACTACAGATACTACTGACACTACAGATACTACTGACACTACAGATACTCCTGACACTACAGATACTACTGACACTACAGATACTACTGACACTACAGATACTCCTGACACTACAGATACTACTGACACTACAGATACTACTGACACTACAGATACTCCTGACACTACAGATACTACTGACACTACAGATACTACTGAC